ATGGGAGCAGATTGACAGGTCTTTCTCCCAAGGAGCTGCTGGATGGGTTCGAACCACCGACCTTTCAGTTAGCAGCCAAGCGCTTAACCATTGCATCACCAGGGCTCCTTCAAGGAGTTAATGAGTGAGCTTAATTCCTGATCTTCAGGTGCTTACGGTGTAGTCAAGTGGACAGCATACACAGATAATGTTGATACACTGTTAGCATGGAGGAATGTGCATGGTCAAAATATGAGCCCCAACAGGTCACTCGCCATTTGTCTAAGAGTCTTGCCAAAGTCTAGAAAACTAGCAATATCTCCAAGGTAAGTGTCTGACATTCAGAGGAAACAGTTGCCCTCTGGGGGACGCAGAGGGGGTGAACAGTGGCAGAGACCTTGTCAACACAAGCATTGCCACAGGCACGTTTTGACTAAGTGAAAAATATTGAAGCAACAGAATCTTGTGGTCAGGTAGTGGTTTACTTCCTCGTTTAGATTTTTTGCGAAACAGTCAACAGAGCCTGTTTCACCAGGATGACGGTAAACACACTTCTCTTTTTCTTTTGGAATTATAAGCATCTTGAAGATGATAGAGGATCGTATGTTTGAAAGAAATCAACCCATTAATTTGCTTGTTGCTACTGTTTTTTTAATAGCAACTTAAAATAATAAAGCCTCTAAGAGCCAGGGATTTGGAGTGAGACCAGAAATTATACGTAAGATTTAACACTTAACATCAGTGTATTTGGGATTAGACACTTCCCTGAGTCTCCTTTCTTCATATGTAAATGAGACCCACTTCACAGAATTGTAATGAGGATTAAATTAGATAGAACAACACTTATGTGTTTCTCAAATTAAAATTGATATTCAAATGCCAGGCGTTTCCTACTGCTCTTTTCTCACCCTTTAAGGGGACCAATATATCTAGTCATTGAAGTGATTTCTGAGGATAGTCCAGGTTTTACTCTCTATGATTCCATGAAAATACACATTTTCTGACAACTTACTTTAGACAAGCTCTGTGTTTTCTGCTGGGGTTTATAGAAATGAATAAGACAGTGCTCTTATCACCAAGAATATAAGCTCTTATTAAGACTTTATTAGTATGGGGTTTCACTAGCTAATTAATGTCTCTCAATCCCCCTCTCTGCCTCCCCCTACCTATTTCTAAGTCTCTCTCTTTCTCTCTCTCTCTCCTTCCCTCACTTCCTCCCTTTTTCTCTCCATAAAATTATCCCCACTGCAATTCACACATAAACCCTGAGCAAACAGTAGGGATACATCCAGAGACAGGAATTCTAGTTGCAAGAAATATTGTACAAATCCCCAAAAGATAAATTCCCAATAAAGGAAGTTTAGGAACATCAATTATAAGAAAATCAAATCTAAAATCAAATAATGAAAGAACTACAATGAATACAACTGTGTATAAATTGTAGGTTCTAAAGCTGAGAAACCATGAGAGATGGTATTCTTCTGTCACTATCTGGACATAAGACACTCCAGGGTTGTTACACGGGATCTTAGTTTCCTGATGCTGTTGTAACACAAATTCTATAAACGGGTGGCTTTAAAGAATATGGAATTGTTTTCTCACAGTTTTGGAGGCTCGAAGTCCAAATTAGGACACTGGCTCTAGGAGAGGGTTCTTCGCGGTCCATAGACCTGGAAGTTCCTTGGCTTTCCTTGGTGTTTCTCTGCTTGTAGATGATCCTCACATGGCAACTGTCTTCCCTCTCCATGTGGGTCTCTGTGTCTACTCTGATCGTTTTATAAGCACCACGTAGAAGTGATTAGGTCTGGCAGCAATCCACACACACACACACACACACACACACACACACATAATTAAAATTGAAATCTTCTTAAGAATTATACTCCCTAAATCTCATCCAAGTGATAGATTATTATAGTGGTTCAGGTAGTATGTGTGGGAGGAAGAGTCTTTTTTGTGTTTTACTTTTTTTAAATCATAAGTTTATTTACTAGAAGTATATGATAATCCATATAAGATTTTCATCAAACCAAACATTTAATAATTAGATGCCTTTCAAATGGGCTGCCCTAGAACTGTTAAAAAATGAATATGTAACAAGAGAATTTGCTAATTTTAAATTCACAATTTAGGATGAATTATACTTAACAGAAATATTGGTAGATAAGTTTGTATTTAAACACAAAAAAAGGAGTGATGAGGGTTAGGACCCACCCTGTTCTGAAATGACCATTAACATAACAAAAGAAAGCCTCTATTTCTAATGGGGTTGTATGTACATGTACAGGCATTAGGACTTCAACACATATTTTTGGGAGACGCGGTTCATACCATAACACGATCTAAAGTGAGCCTGTTTAAATAAATCCAAATGTATCCCAGTTTATCATTTTTCTGGTTTCTTTGTCTTTCTCTTTCTTAGGATATCACTCACAGTTGAAGCATTACTCATGTTCTTCACATTTTTCTATGTGAAATCGTCAGTCCCCACACAGATTAATTACAGGCAGGGGAGGATTAACCAGTAAGCAAGGTACACACGGGCTTTCATGTTTATTTACTAATCTGTAGTGCACAATTTCACCTGGTTTTCACCATACTTGTAAGCACAAGTAAGCCCGTGTGTACCTTGCGTATTAGATAATCCATCCCTGCCTACAGGCAGAATAACACCTTCGTGGCATTCTGAGAAAGAGAGAGATTAGGCTGTTGGGATCTTCTCCCAGTGCCGTCCTGTTTCTGGGATCTTAAACGGAGAAAGCTTCTTCATTGTAATTAGCACACACACATACACATACTTAATGAACAGTCTGCATACAGACTGTATGATTTTATTATCTTAAATTAAAAGCAGCCTGAACAACTTTAAACCAGAAATATCCTCTGAAGTCTTCTTAAAACCAAACAATAGTTTGGCTTCACTGGTAGAAAAAAGTCTGCCTTGAGCATATGCTCCTTTAAGAACTATCTATATGGGATCTATTTCATTTGATGTTCATATTGAAAAGGTCGTCTTGACGGGAGTACGTTGGAGAGAGGTCAAGTGACAGAATGTTGGTACAAAAGTTCAGGTGGGAGTAGGTGGCAGTGGAGATAGAGAGGGTGTCACACAGGGGGTTGTGTGGATTACTCTCAGTTTTCCAGCATGAGCAATTGAATGGCTAGCAATGTTATCTAATGGAACACAGAACACCAGTGCACGATCAGGCTTGGCTAGGAAGAGGGCTCACGAGTACCTGTGGGATTTAAGAAAGCATGCAAGTATGTTTCTTTATTGGTTACAGTATTTTCAAATTAAGGGTCCATGTTCATTAATTTACACTAGCATTTCACAAAGTGTATTCTCTAGCATCCTGACCCTCAAAGAGTGGCCTATGGACCAGCAGCATTGGGCCACCTGGGAGCTGGTTAGAAATGCTGAATCTATTGCCCCCTTGACCTACTTACTTTAACAAGATCCCCAGCTGATTCATAGCTCATTAAAGTTTGTGAAGCACTACTCTAGAACATAGGACTTGGAGGGGTTGTGTGACAAAATGAGTCCGAATCGACTCGTCGGCAATGGGTTTGGTTTGGGTTTGGGTGTGACAAAAAGGTTCCCAGAGCAAATAATTTTGAGAAACAGTGAGAAGAGTTTCCTGATGAATAGTCAAAAAGTCCATTATCATTTAAAAGGTCCTATAAAACCAGTTGCCATGGAATCAATTCTGACTCACGGTGACCCCATGTATGTCAGAGTAGAACTGTGTTCCATGGGTTTTCAATGGCTGATTTTTCAGAAGCAGATCACCAGGCCTTTCTTCCAAAGTGCGTCTGGGTGGATTCGAACTGATCAGCTGGGCATATTCGGAATAAATTGTGCACATCTGAGCTGAGGACTCAGTTATTTCTCATTTATTTTTTCTTCTTCTTAACTTCCTTATTTCCCACTTCTTCTATCTCATTTAATTCTCCAAGCCGTCTTGTGAAATATAGATTATTACATTTATAATTGAGGAAATTACGATTCGAAGAGGTAAAGTCACAGATCTGAAGTCATGCAGCTAACATGACAGAATTTGAATCTCCGTCTGTGTGCTTCCAAAACCCATGCTCTTTCCGCTACCCAGTCCTACCTCGGTGTTACTGAAACAGTCTTTCTTTGTTGCTTACAGTAGCAGAGATGTGTAAGGAACCTCAGAGAGCATCAAGTTTGGTGAGCTCTACTGAAATGTAAATATAAAGTGTAATATGCCATCTATAGAGTTTTATGGAAAGCCCAATCTTTGGTGAATCAACGCATTGCCACTACAGAAATCTTCAGAAGCGCGAGCTCCTGATATTTAACAGTATCCAGAATTAACAGCATCCGTGCAGTGCAGTTGCCGTTGTTAGTTGCCAACTAGTCAGCTCCAACTTGTGGTAAGCCCATGTACAAACGAATACAACGTTGCCTTGTCCTATGCCATGTTCATGATCATTGGTGTGCTCGAGCCCATGGTTATAGCCACTGCGTATTTTGAGTGCCTTCCAACCTAGAGGGCTCATCTTCTAGCGCTATATCAGACAACATTCTGTTGTGATCCATAGGGTTTTCATTGGCTAATTTTCGGGAGTAGATCCCCAGGCCTTTCTTCCTAGTCTGTTGTAGTCTAGAAGTTTCAGCGAAACTTTTCCACCATAAGCGACCCTGCTGGTATTTGAAATGCTGGCAGCATAGCTCCAGCATCAGGGCCGTATCGCTAATAAATTTCAGTGATTTGGACAAAGTGCAGTGACGACTCGGTACTGAAAATGACCAGAAGGTGATAAGCAAAAACTGTCATTTCACTGAAAGTTTTTCTCACATTCTTGCAGCCAGAGGGACGGGTTAGCTCAGAAAGACATCCCTAAAACGGCCGTTTGTTTCCAGCTGGCCTGGCTCAGGGCCTGTATGCTCTCTGCTGCTGGTCCAGGAGATTATCTTCAATCTTTGCCCCGCTCCTCAGCCCGAATGCCTCTCATGTGAGCCAGGCAGGAAGTGTGACCTCATTCTGCCTCTCCGCCTCTGGTTACGGAGGCTGTTTTTGAAAGGAAACAAGAGAGGTTGTAAGGCTGACTCTCCCAAGAATGTCACGCTTTGCTATTCTAGGAAGCAGCCAAAGAACAAGAGGCTGCTGGAGACAAAACAACTTCTCTCTGCAAATGCCTACACTTGGCAATATGTGGCGGCATCTATCAGAAGGTGGGAAAGACGGGGTTTCCCTTTATTGAGAGACTTCTGCACCCGTTGACGTTCTGACGTTATTTTCAGCCGAAGAACCGCTAAGTCCTGGATGCCTCTGCTGACTGTCACCCCACTGGAAGCTTTGCATTTCAGTAATTGTCTTGCCATTTATCAATTGGAAGAAGAGTCGGAACTCCCTTTGGAAGGAACAGGATGAGCAAACTATTTTTCAGAACAGATATGTTGCTTCAACGGGACTGCTAGATAGTGTCCGTTTCTTCAGAAGTTTTTGAGCTGTAGCTTATGTCTCTTTCAGTGTCACTAATTCTCAATTAATTGTCAGTATTCTGCTGTAGACTACAGTAAGTATTTGTCACCTATACCAATAAGACCTTGCTTTCTGCCATAGGATGTTTCAACTTAAAATTAAACTTATTGCTTGGGAAAAACTAATATAGGGTAGTTTGGACTGGGCATATTCTTATTGAGTTGATCAAAAAGTAAAAGGACAAATGATAAAATATCAGATCCGATATTCCAAAGAAATTAAATTTATGAATGTGTGCTTTGATTTAGCGATCGTCCAAGGAATGCTAGAAAGTTCTCCTGACTTCTATAAAGATCTTTAGAAGCCGAGATCTATATTTGCTAGCAGGTTTTATATCATTTTTTGAAGAATACGTTTGGAGCTATAGAATTAACTTGATTTGATTTATTGTATTACAGCTACAAAAACAATCCATTACTAGCTACCATATTTTAAAAAATGAGGATAGAAGTCATGAATCAGAAAAGAATTTAGTCCTACCTTCTAAAGATTTTAGTACAGTGATATCTACGAAGTTTAATAGTCAACAGAAATTCAGTCTATGTGATGAATGGTAAGTGATCAAAGTTTATCTAATTTACACATTTTGGTGTGTGTTTCATTTGCAACTGAGAACATAAATTATAAGTTCAGGGAAACTGAGTTTTGAAAGCTACCCAGTGGGATACTATTTTTAGCGCCCTGGTGCTTATGCTGTTGAAGACTTCCCGGAATGATAACAACCGCAAAAGGACCCTGGTCCTCTCTGATGACTACCTGTCAACGTTGAAGTTGTCGGGCAAAAGACAGAGGCCGATCCTCCAGTATTGTTTGCAACTTGATAACGATGGTTGATATGTGTTAGGTGACTACAGTACAAATACCCATACATCGGTTGGAGAGGCTTTTAGAACTAGTCATTCTTCATATTTCTTCATCACTCGGTTTCATGTTTTATTTTGAAAATCAACCTTTGTAAGGTTTAGCTTTTTCCAAACAAAATGATGTTCTTATTTAAAAGGAAAGGAGGGTTGATGATACAACACGTGAGCGCTGGGCTGTTCACTGAAAGGTTGGTGGTTTGAACCCACCCAGTAGCTTCGCAGGAGGGAGACCTGGCAATCTGTTCCCATGAAGATTATAGCCTAGAAAACCCTATGGGGCAGTTCTAGTCTGTCACACAGGATTGCTACGAGTGGAAATCAACTGGGCTGCACCTTACAACAACAACAATACGGAAAATGTAATATCAAACTCATAGAGGAAAATGCAACCCTGCTTGTGGTTCTCAATTTAGTCTCTTGCCTTCAATTCAGTATCTCTGTATTATTTCAGCAAATGAATCAGACTTTAGTGCAATTAATAGGTGCCATCTGTTTTGGCATTATTTTTCTATTTTAAATACATAATCTACCTTTTTTTAAAATGTATTTTGCAGAAACTTTGTCAAATTTGAACCAGCAGCCTTCCCAACACGTACAGAATGTCTCAACTGATGTCAACACCAGTAGCAAGTAAATGTAAGAGAACTGTGATGTGCAATTATCTTTTGAATGATTAGACTCCTTTTAGCAATTTCCTTGCTTTGATTTTGCTGATACTCATACCATCAACCATCTGTCAGTAGCTTGTGCTTCTTAAATGCCAGTGTTCGCTTTGGCAATGATTTTGACTTCATTTCTTTCCTTGAGAGAAACGTGATATTTTTTCCTTTAAGTAGGAAAAAAAATCATCCTTTTTTTTAGATGCTTGTGCACAAATGTGAAAGGAGATTGTTTATCAGCTACTATTAAGATGCAAAACTGTTTGTCTATAAAAAAAATACTGAATGATTTTGATAGCTACTTGCGAAAAATAAGGGCGTTGTTCACACGGTAGTGTTTTCAAAATTCTTCCTTCCTCTTGTTATTTTCAAAACCCCACTTCGAGCTCTCCCTCACACACCTACAATTTTCTCCTTACAAACCAACCAGCTGAATCTGAAAGTCTAAATATCTTTCTTTGTCTTAGAAACTAAACTAATGGAATGGAATCAGGTTTTACTGAACCTATCTATTACAAGCATTGGCACTGTCATTGTGCATTTTAAAACTCCACTTTAGAATTGAGAATATTATTTGACTGCAGTCCTCTCCAAGTGAAGTCTGTTGCCATGCCTTTAGTTAAACAGGAATGAATGAATGTTTGTTTGTTTTTTAATTAACAATACTCACTGGCTTCATACACTGAAAAGTCATTAATGTATTAAAAAATTTTTATCTTCCCACCAATGTCTGTTGCTCATTATTTTATGATGGAAATGCCCAAAATTGCACTAATGAAGGAGAGTCTGGGTAGACCATTGAATTCCTCAGATTACTGGCTAAGCTAAAATAACCAAGACATTGTATAATTTATTTTGGTTTCCTACAGCTTCACACAACATCTTTTCTTCCTCAATTTCATGAGCTCAGTTTGATGCTAATGATTTGTTATTGTTTCATCTAGCACTGAGGAACCTCCAAAGGAGTGTCCAGTGAGAGTAGAAAACACGTTCCCCTAGATTATTTTCCTGCTCCTATAGAGGCCTGGTGGCAAGTGGTGTCAGTGCCGATTCGTTGCAGGGAGGCCCCATTTGAAGTCTTTCTGCTGAGGCTGGGACAACAGCCTGGGACACCTTCTTTATACACCTCCACTGTTTATGATCATGCATGTTGCTAAGGGGTGATACATTTCTACATCTCTCCCGTTTGCTCATGCAGGTTCTTCTGGATCGGAGAGAGAACATACCGGAGAGCTGTCTCCCACATGCATTTTCCCAAGGTATCCCATGGGGCTTTTCCTAGGAAAAGTCAATCAAATTCTCTTCCTCTGTGTCTTATGTGCTATAATCTTGCTATAAAAATATTATTTTTAGTATCCTCCAGTTTTTGGAATGGTTATATATTTTCACTCCCACGTGCAGACTAAATGAAACTTGTCTAATATCATATTGAATGTGTGTGTGTGGGTGGGTGGGTTTTGGTATGAATTATTTGTTTGGTGAGTGGAGAGACTTTGGATACGTATGTATGATTACGTTTTCTAAAACTGATATTCCTTTAAATATGCTCGTGCAAGAGCAGTAGGATTCTATACTAACGCACAAGCTTGCCAAATTGAATGTTCCACTAAAACATGTAGAGTCTACCATCTTGTTCAAGTTTATCATCTGTGCAATGAAGTCTCTTTTCCTTTCCTTCCTTCCTTCTTTTCTGTCTTTTACTTTCCATGGACGCATCAATTGATTTTCCTCCTGGCATTTTGGGAAACGTGCCAATAGTATAAACGGATTGTGCATTGGTGTTAGAACCTGTCCCTTACTGTAAATTCTAGACCTCCTGTTACTCCCAAATGAATCAGCCAAGGATGAATAGACACAAAGTGAAAACAGTACATGTTTTAGCATCAGATAGACTAGAGTTCAAATCCTAGCTCTGCCAATTGCTAGCTAAGTAAAATACCCAAGGGATTTTCCCTTTTGTATCTCACGTACCTCATGTTTTTCCTGCTGTACAATGAGGGCAATAATACTTAGCCTTCAGGAAAGTTTGTGAAGAGTAGAGTGTAAAGCATTGAGCCAGGCCCACGGTAAGTTTTCAATAAATAATATCCACCTAAAATATTATTTCACTAACTTGAGTCCATGTATTAATTATGTTGTTGTTGTTAGGTGCCGTTGAGTCAGTTCCGACTTACAGCAACCCTACATACGTACAACAGAACGAAAAACTTCCCGGTCCTGCACCATCCTCACAACCGTTGTTATGCTTGAGCCCTTTGTGGCAGCCACTGTGTCAATCTATCTCATTGAGGTTGTTCCTCTTTTCCACTTTTAAATAAAAAATACTGTATCAGAAATTCAATAGGCTTGAAACTCCATGAACCCATTGCTGTCAAGTCCATTCTAACTCATAGTGACCGTATAGAACAGAGTAGAACTGCCCCATAGGGTTTCCAAGGCTGTAATCTTGACAGAAGCAGACGGCCACAGCTTTCTCCCTAGAGCTTGAGGGAGACATATAAAAGGAGGAGAGATATTTTATAACCAATCAGTGCATGAATAATTATCAAATTTTTTTGTAAAGTTCCAATGATGTCTGTCTCTTCACAGAGCAGTTTTGGTGCTGCCCCGTGAGGTGTGACCTTCAGCAGTTCTTCAAGATTTGGCTAATAGCCTCACAGGAAAGAATAGATTGTGTCTCTGGGCAGTTGAGCAGGTTGCTGGGGTTTGGTGTGGGGCTGGATGTCTGTAAACCACCTGGAAGGGACCTGCTAAAAATAGCCAGCTACTAAGGTTGTTAAAAGGAGCCCCGGTGACACAGTGGTTAAGTGTTCGGCTGCTAACCGAAAGGTCAGCAGTTCGAACCTACCAGCCGCTCCATGGGAGAAAGATGTGGCAGTCTGCTCTCATAAAGATTACATCCTTGGAAACCCTATGGGGCAGTTCTACTCTGTCCTATAGGGTCGCTATGAGTCAGAATGGACTCAACCGCAGTGGGTTAATGGAAGTGTTGTTAAAGCATAATTGAAGATGGAGTTAAGCTCTAGAGATAATTGTGTTGTCTATTTAAAATATTTGGTATTGTTGGGGAAGAATCTCTTCTTTATACTTTATTTTATTTTTTGTTGTTGAGAATATACATAGCAGAACACACACCAATTGGAAGAATCTCTGTTTACTATAATCCAGATGTTGGAAGAATGTTTCCATTTCATTTACCATCAAGAGAGGAGAGACAAACATCAAGGCATGAAAAAGGAAAGAAGCCAGGAGATTAGGGATGCTGCAGCTGATAATTGTTAGATGCTAAGACCTCAATAATTGGCATCCAGGTAGAAATGCAGGTCCAGAACTCTGTCCAGATGTAGGTTCAGAACCTAAATGTCCCACCCGTTATAGTATCTTCATTAATTCTTGAGGTGGTAAAATGGTGTAGAAGAAAAAACCCTAGGCTAGGAGATAAAAGATATACATTGTTACCTTGACTCTCCCACTCATAAGCCTTGAGATATTGAAGAATTAACTCATCATCCTGGAGACTCAGGGTTCTTATCTATAAACTGGGGTAATAATAATCAAAATGTGCTAATAAATTCAGTCCGTACATATCTGGAAAGGAAGCGTCTCCCGGTGCTTCCTAAGTCTCAGATCTGCACTCATACCATCAATATTTCCAACAATGATTTGAACTGAGGACATGTAGACACCATGGATACCATTTTGTGCTGTTAATCAGAATTTCCCCAAATTCCATGAGCGTGGAATCATGAGCTCATTCAAACGGTAGCTAAGAGATTTAGCTTACAGCGCTCAGTCTATGGCATCATAGAGCTATACACCTTCCATGAAATTGGACATTTAATCTTCACCAACTCTACGTAGTTGTTTTGTGATTATCGCTAGGATCCCCATTGTATAGATTCCCATTTACAGAAAATTAAGCCTTGGGGAAGATAAATAATTAGCAAGTGGTTTCAAACCAAGATTATAAACCTAGCTCTATCTAGATGCAAAACCGCTATTCTTAATATCTATTTCATATTGTTTTTCTAAGATAAAATTTTTCCAAATGTCCAGTTTGGGAAGGTATGGCTAAGTATATGGGGAAGGACAAAATTGATAGTCAACCAAGTAGTATGACAGGATGTTGGTGGCTGAGGGGGTGGGGGGACCAAGCTAACATGATCTTAAACTTCATCAATAAAGACATGGATTCTATAATGAAGGAGATGATAGTCTCACTCTCCTCTGTGCTGGGCAGATACACAGAAAGAATTGAGTTCTATGCTTGGCCTGATATATTCATGGTACTTTAAAAACTGAAAAATACTCAGAAGGAAGCAGTAAGACATATGAAAGTGAGGGGATCAAAAGCACATAGTGTCATATAAGGATGAGTTGAACGACCTGGAGAATTTTTAGTATGGAGAAGAGAGAACCCTAGGAGTACATGGGAACTTTTCAAAAAGCTAAATAGCTCTCGAACAGAAGACAGAATGGAAAGAAAGGAAATGGAGGAAATGAAAATTTATCAGGCACGCACTATACGCCAAGCCCATTACATTTATTTTCTCATTTAATTGTCAAGACAACCTCATAAGGAAGGTGTTATTTTTCTCATTTTGCAGAGGAGACAGCCTCAGAGAGGCTAAGTGACTGTGTCAAGGTTACTGAGCTGATTAACAGCAGAATTGGGATTTAGGGTGGGTTGATTCCAAATTCTATGTCTTTCCCAGTACACTCCAATCCATACTTGTCCAGTAGAGGGGAGTGGCTTGGTAAGTGGTGAGGTCCCTGTCACTGGAGGTGTGCAAGCAGAGGCCAGCCAACTTTTGGCAGAAATACAGCATGTGGGACAAGCAGAATTTGCTGGGTTTGGTGACACAACAGTTAAAATTCCTTCTAATTCTTAGAGTCTGTGGTTCTCTGGAAGTGTAGGCTCTCAATTTTATGCAATTAAGTGGAATAAATGTCTATAGAAGTTCTTTGGAAACAGCAAGGTAAAAAGCAAATGAGTGCTATTATTAGTGATAGGGATTGATTGACATGAAGCCACCCTAAGAATTCAGATATGTTCAGAAACCGTATTTTTTAAAAAGACTAGATTTCCGTAGCCTGTCAGGTGATTTCTTTCAGCAGCTAGGATTGAATTTATTTATATACTAAACATCTATTAGGCACACAACCCCTGCCCTCCAGTAATGTATAAAGTAATTACGAAGGAGGGCGTAGGTAGACACAAATCGCAATGAAATCTGTTAAAATTTAGAGTTTAGGACAAAAAAATAATTTTTGTGGGAGGAGAGAGGAAAATAAAAACAAGCCATTTTGCCTGAGGAAATAATGCATTCCCATCTGCAGTATGGTTGTATACCTGTTGCCACCTTGTTTTCACCAAATCCCATCTCAAGAATTTTTAAATTTCAGAATATCTTCAAAAATTTTATAGCTTTTCAATCATATGGGAATGTGATTGGTTTTTAAACCCAAGGCCCATACAGGTTTTACTCAACGAAATATGAGATGACTGTGAATACTGAATGAGGGATGGTAATTGTGCAACCATTGGTGCAGCTGTCACAGAGGGCAAATTGCAGAGGCCCAGAAGATCGCTTTGACTGTGTACTCACCATATAGCTCATATGTGTTTGGTGGCTGCATAGTTATAATTTCTCTATTATGGTGACAAGAGTAAGGACTGGCATTAGAGGGCTCTTCAAAGAAAAGGAGATGGGAGGGATTACGCGCTCCCAACATCCCCGTAAGACTGTTCTGCAATTTTTCCACCCAAGAAAATGAACTAATGTCAAGGTTGTAGGTCCATTATATGTTGAAGATACCGAGTATCCATAGTGTTTCCATCGAAGTTTAAAACAGAAAGAAGCATTAAAGATTCCATAGGGTCAGTGCTCTCCCAGGTGAGGAGATGAAGCCCAGCAGGGTAAGAGTGACATTCTTAGGGTTGTGAAAGTAACCCTAAGTAGCCATGAATGCAAGAAGTTGTTTTCCTTAACAGTACTGGATAGAGATTTAAAGTATTTTCCTTGTTCCCTCTTTAGTTTTGCCTGTGACTTCCTGGATGGTGACAGTTCTTTTGAATGCTGCTTCATAGATCCCCTGACAGGTTCCCACTTTACCTGTCGTCGAAGTCCCAGACTCCTCACCAATGGCTACTACATTTGGACTGGAGACAGTTTCCTCTGTGACAAGGATGGCAACGTAACTCTGAGCCCATCCCAGACCAGTGTTATGTATAAGGAGAACTTAGTTAGGTAAGTAGAGGACATTACTGAAAGTATCTGATGTCCAACACATCCATTAATTATTCATTCATTTATTCATTCAACAGTCTTGTATAAGGAGCCCATTATTGCTCTCGACTTTGGAAATGCAAAGGCTAATAAAGGGCAAGGGTAGCTGCCAAGTAAACAAAAGTAATGAAATGATACAGGTACTAAGAAATCTGTACAGAGTGCAGGGGAGGGAAAAGGAAGAGAGGCCGATTTTACTTGGGGACTGATGATGGAGAATAGAGATGATGATGACTGATGAGTGTTGAAGGGTGTCGAACTCTAGTTAAAATAGAAGGAGGACGGAGGACTCCCAGAGAAAGAGAACAAGCTTGCAGTTCTGAGAGACCCTCACACAATTTGGAGAAAGGCAAGTAGTTTGGCAGGGATACAGCTTAGGGTGGGAAGAAGTGCTCTGCAAGAGAGAAACTCAGCACAGAGAAGGACTGGAAGCAGGGAGATGAATTCTTGACTGAGGAGTTTGGGTTTTATTCTGTAGATAAAGAGGAGCCATTGACAAATGGTCACATTTGTTCTTAGGAAGATAACACTGATTACGATGCAGAGGATGGATTGCTAGGAGAGTGGATGCGTGAGTAGGGAGAGAGGGCAAAAATTGGAGGCACAGTATCCAGGAATTGAAAGAAAGCAGCAGCAGTAAAGATAAAACAGTGGGATTGGGAAAAATAGATATAAAGCATAGCGTACTGAGTTGGGAGCCCTGGTGGTGCAGTGGTTGAGTTCAGCTTCTGACCGAAAGGTCAGCAGTTCAAATCTACCAGCAGCTCCTTGGGAACCCTATGGGACAGTTCTACTCTGTCCTATAGAGTCACTATGTGTTGGAATAGACTCAACAGCAATGGATTTTTTTGTATTTCGTACTGAGTTGAATAATGACCCCACCAAATTCACATATTTCCCAGAACCTCAGAATGTGATCTTATTTGGAAATAGGGTCTTTTCAGATGTAATTACCTAAGTTAACATGAGGTCATATAAGAGTAGGGTGGGCCCTAAACCAATATGACTGGTATCCTTATAATAGGAGAAGAGACACAGACACAGAGGAGAGACACCGTGTGACAACAAAGGCAGAGATTGGAGTGATGCATTTACAAGCTAAGGAACATTAAGTATTGCCAGTTAACACCAGAAGCCAAGAGAAAGGCATAGAACATTCTCCTCCATAGCCTTCATACAGAGCATAGCCCTACTGACAACTTGATTTTGGACTTCTGGCCTTTTGAATTGTGAGAGAATAAATTTCTGTTGGTTTAATCCTCCCAATTCGTGGTACTTTGTTAAGGCAGCCCTAGGAAGCTAATTCAGATTTTGGTAGTGGGAAGTGGGGTCCTGCTACAACAAATACCTAAAACTTTGAAAGTAACTCGGTAATTGGGTAATGGGTAGAGGCTCGAAGAATTATGAGGTGCATGATAGAAAAAACTTAGATTACCTTGAAGGGACTGTTGGTAAAAATATGGGTGTTAAAGGCAATTCTGGTAAGAGCTCAGAATAAGCAAAAAAAGTGGCAGAGCTTTTATCACCTTTGAGAATAAATATAATGGACAGAACGTTGCTAGAAAAATTATTTTTATTTTTCCCCCTTCTGTTTATCCCTGTGGCTACTCCCTTCATCCACCCCACTATCATCTGTTGCTTAGCTTTCTACAATGGCCACCTGAACACTCTGTATGCCTCCTGGATCACCTGCCTTCCAGTACTTTCTCCAGGCTGCTGCAAGGTGGTTTTCTTACAGTCTCTAGGCACCTTTCTTGAGGGGAGTTGTGCTCCATTTCCTTTCGTTCCGTTGCACCTTAGTTGTTGTTACTAGTGTTTCTCAAGTAGATAGGTAGGTAGGCAGGTAGGTAGGTAGACAGACAGACAGATAGATAGATGGATGACACGGCTGTATGGATGAACGGACAGGCGGGTGGACGGACAGACAGATGATACGGCTAGATAGATGGATGGATGTGTGGATGGACGGATGGATGGACAGAGACCATGTATTGATTACTTGCCTTATGCTAGGTACTCTCCCTACTGTTTTACCCATATGCTTTCACTTAATCCATCCTGCCCTGAAACTTTATGACATAGATTCCCATTTACCATGTTACCACTACTCCTCACCCCTTCACATACTTCAGCATTCTTCCTTCTCTGTAATTTTAAATCCCAACTCTTTCACACACATAGAAAGAGTACAAGTTCCTTCTTTTTACCTTTCCACCCTTGTCTTAGTCATCTAGTGCTGCCATAACAGAAATACTACAAGTGGATGGCTTTAACAAAGAGAAATTTATTCTCTCACATTCTAGTAGGCTACAAGTCCAAATTCAGGGCATCAGCTCCAGAGGAAGGCTTTCTCTGTTGGCTCTGGAGGAAGGTCCGTGTCATCAATCTTCCCTTGGTCTAGAAGCTTCTCAGTGCAGGAACCTCAGGTCCAAAGGATGTGCTCTGCTCCCGGCACTGCTTTCTTGGTGGTATAAAGTCCCCGCATCTCCCTGCTTGCTTCTCTCTTTTATATCTCAGAAGAGATTGGCTTAAGACACTATCTAATCTTGTAGATTTCATCAGTATAACTGCCGCTAATCCATTTTATTACATCATAGTGATAGGATTTACAACACGTAGGGAAATCTCCTCAGATTACAAAATGGTAGACAGTCATACTACATCGGGAATCATGACATAGCCAAGTTGACAGATATTTTTTGGGGACACAATTCAATCCATGACAACACTCATCTCCTAGCACAACCCAATATAAGGCCTACTTGTTCTTCAATGAACAGGTCAGATTGTCTCACGCAGCTCAGAACTCACCTGTTCCAGAAAGCCTCCGTTGGCTCCCACTTGGCAATACCCCTCTTGGTACTCCCAGAGCAGCCTTTAGTTCATCCTTTCAGAGCACCTGTCCCCTTCGTAGTTCAGTGGTCAAGAGCAGAGACTCTGCAGCAAGAGAGCTGTGTCACTTACTAGCCATATGACTTCTTGCTGTGCCTCAGTCTCCTCATTTAAAAAATGGAGCAATAATAGTCCCTACCTTATGGAGCTGTTCTGAGGAGAATGTGAGTTGATAAATAGAAAGAGCTAAGAAAGCTAAGAGCTAAGATACCTGGCCCAGAGTAAGCTCCACGTAAGCATTAGCAGGAGTCTCTGGGTGGTGTAAATGGTTAATGCACTTACTGCTAACCAAAAAGTTGGTAGTTCAAATCCACCTAGCAGCACCTTGGAAAAAAGGCCTGGCAATTTGCTTCCAAAAAAATCAGCCACTGAAAACTCTATGGGGCACAGTTCTGCTCTGACACACAGGGCGGGCCATGAGTCAGAACTGACTCAAGGGCGACTGGTTTGGTGTTTTTGATTTTAAGCATTAGTTGTGTCTGTATTATTCCTGTCTTTCTCCCACCCTAGATTGTGAGCTTTTTGTACACAAAGTTTTGTTTTTAGTCTCAGTATCCTATCCTTGGCACTTAATCCAGCACCTGACATGCAGTAGAAATTCAAGAAACATCTGTAGGATTAATGGGGTGAACAAATGAAATGAGCTCCATGGACTTGGGCTGTAGAGCTGTTTTCTGTGCATCAAATCACTTTTATCAAATTCTCTGTTTTGGACCTGAGGTCATTCCTATCCTGTTTTTACCATTTTTTCCCCCTCATTCTCTCCAGAATATTTAGGAAAAAAAAGAGGATCCGCCATTCCCTTTCTTCTCTCTTCAGTCTCAGTGCCTCTAAATCCTGGCTACATGGAAGTATCTTTGGTGATGTTGACCCTTCCCCAAGAGAGGACATCTGGTTGGAGGGGCTGAATGCTTACCACTGCAATGAAAATGGTGAGTTCAAATGCCCTTTTCCATGGTGACATGCCGTTTCCAAATGGAAACCTGGTGACATAGTGATTAAGAGCTATGGCTGCCAACCAAAAGGTCAGCGGTTCAAATCCACCAGGTGCTCCTTGGAAACCCCATGGGGCAGCTCTACTCTGTCCTATAGGGTCGCTATGAGTGGGAATCAACTCGATGACGAGTTTGTTTGTTTTTTTTTTTTTAGTGGCAATTACGTAATCCTAGACCAATGTAAAATCCATAGAAGATGGTAATTTTGATAAAGAAGATGGGCTACATTTTAAAAATTCACCTAATGCTGTCTTACACACTACTTATATGATCCAAGCACGTATGTGCCTTTGTTATGCACAATAGCCTCATTTAAATGGGTTAATTATTAAACTGATAATACCTAGGCAATATTTGTACATCTCTAATGCATCTTTTCTGTATGGGATATGAGTAGAGAAAGGATACCTAAGTCAGATTTAGAAGACCCAGGTGGGGCACAATTTATTGAGTGCTAGGTCTTAAACGATGGTTAACACTCATTATCCTATTTAATCTTTAAGATATGCGTACCTTGTTTTGAAAATGAGGAAATAGAGATTTAGCAAAGTTAAGTAACTTCCTCAGTGTGTCAAATCTGGAACTTGAATACAAGTCCCAAGCATGGGGCCCTTCCTGAGTTTCAAGATTCTCTAACACTTGTTACTCTCTCTTTTGTTTTGACAAAGTGAGAACAATATCAAGAGGTTTCTGTTATAACAGTAAAAAACCAGTCGTCATCGAGTCAATTTTGACTCATGGCAAGCCTATGTGTGTCAGAGTAGAGCTGTGCTCCATAGGGTTCTCAATAGCTGATTTTTCAGAAGTAGGTCACCAGGCCTTTCTTCCAAGACACCCCTGGGTGGACTCAAACATTCTGGTTAGCAGCCAAGCACATTAACCATTTGCACCACCCAGGGACTCCTGTCTTTGGCACAAATTAAACAAGTCTCGTTTTCATTCTATTTATTTTTCGCATTTAATTTCTTTCTAGGGTATTTAAGCTAATGACAGAAAGTTTTCGTAAAGTAAAAGTCTAATTTGAGACAATTTGAAGAAATTAAGTGGCTAAGAGCAAATTGTCCTTGGACACGGTAAAAATCAGGGAAACGCTGCTTGGTTAACTAAAGTTTGGGAATCATTGTTCTAAAGGACAATGTTTCACTTATTTGGAAATTAGCATCCAGTTTTCCTATAATTTCCCCTTCAAAATATGTCCAAACACCTATACACAGAGAACTCCAAAGATTCCACAAAAAAAACTATTGGGACTAATAGAAAGATTCAGCAGAGTAACAGGATATAAGATCAACGTACAAAAATTAGTTGGATTTCTATACCCAAACAAAGAGAACTTTGAGAAGGAAAACAATATCATTAATAATAGTCCCTAAAAAGATGAAATACTTTGGAATAAATCTAACCAGGGACCTAAAAGACCTTTACAAAGAAAACTACAAAACACTATTGTAAGAAACCAGAAGAGAACTACATAAATAGAAAAACATACCATGCTCATGGACAGGAAGACTCAACATTGTGAAAATGTCAGTCCTACCCAAAGCAATCTACAGGCATAATACAATCCTGATCCAAATACCAGCAGCATTCTTTAACGAGATGGAAAAACTAATCACCAACTTTATATGGAGAGGAAAGAGGTCCCGGATAAGCAAAGCATTACTGAAGAAAAAGAACAAAGTAGGAGACATCACACTAGCTGATCTCAGAACCTACTATACAGACATGGTAGTCAAAATAGTCTGGTAGTGGTACAACAACAAGCACATAGACCAATGGAACAGAATCAAGAACCCAGATGTAAACCCATTCACCTATGGTCGGCTGATCTTGGACAAAGGATCAAAGTCCATTCAATGGAGAAAAGACAGTATTTTTAACAAATGGTGCTGCCAAAACTGCATGTCCATCTGTAAAAAAAATGAAAGAGGACCCATACTTCACACCATACACAATAACTAACCCAAAACGGATCAAAGACCTAAATATAAAGCCTAAAATGAAAAAGATTACAGAAAAAAATAGGAATAAAAGTAGGGACCCTAATGCATTGCATAAAGAGAATACAAGCCATAACTAACAATGCACAAACACCAGAAGAGAAACTAGATCACCTAGAGCTCCTAAAAATTAAATGCTTATCTTCATCAAAAGACTTCACCAAAAGAGTAAAGAGAACCTACAGACTGGGAAGAAATTTTTGGCTGTGACATATCTGATAAGGGCCTAATCTATGCAATACTTCAACACCTCAACAACAAAAAGACAAATAATCCAGTTAAAAAATGGGCAGAGAATATGAACAGACACTTCAGCAAAGAGGACATTCAGGTAGCTAACAGACACATGATGAAATGCTCGCAATTATTAACCATTAGAGAAATGTAAATCAAAACTACAACGAGATACCATCTCACCCAGACTTTTCTGTCACTGCTAAAAAATAAAAATAAAAACAGAAAACAACAAATGCTGGAGAGGTTGCAGGGCAATTGAAAGTCTCATTCACTGCTGGTGGGAATGTAAAATGGCACGCTGACTTTGGAAAATGATAGGGCGCCTCCTTAAAAACCTAGAAATAGTAGTACCATTCCTAGGAATATATACTAGAGAAATAAGAGCTGTCACATGAATATACATATGCACACCCATGTTCATTGCAGCATTATTCACAATAGTAAAAAGATGGAAACAACCTAAGTGCCCATCGACAGATGAATGGATAAACAAACTACGGTGCATATACACAATGGAATACTACACAACAATAAAGAACAGTGATGAATTTGCAAAACATCTCACAAGATGGATGAATCTGATGGGCATTATGCTTAATAAAATAAGTCAATCACAAGAGGACAAATATTGTATGATACCACTTTTAGAAAAACCTGAGAAAAGATTTATACTCAGAAGAAACAGTCATTGGTGGATATGAGGGAGCGGAAGGGCGAGAAGGGGAAATCACTAATTAGATAGTAGGCAAGTGTTAATTATGCTAAAGGGAAAGACAACACACAATATAGGGGATGACAGCACAACTTGACCGAGGCAAAGTTACAGAAACTTCTTAGACACAGCCGATAACCTTAAGGGACCAAGTTACTGGGGTTAAGGGCGAGGGACCATGGTCTCAGGGGACATCTAGGTCAATTGGCATAACATAGTTCGTAAGAAAATGTTCTGTATCCAAACTTGGTGAGTAGCGTCTGGAGTCTCAAAAGCTTGTGAGCGGCCCTCTAAGATATAGCTATTGGTCCCATCACGTTTGGAGCAAAGGAGAATGAAGAAAACTAAAGTTAGAAGGAAAATATTATCCCAGAGGACTAACGGACCACACGAACCACAGCCTCCACCAGCCTGAGCCCAGAAGCACTAGATGGTGCCCAGCTACCACCCCCTGACGGCTCTGACAGGATTCACGACAGAAGGTCCCGGACAGAGCAGGAGGTAGAACAAAATCCACGTTCACAAAAAAGACCAGACTTATTGGTCTGACAGAGACTGGAGGAACCTCCAAGACTATGGCCCCCGGACACCCTGCTAACTCAGAACTGAAGCCACTCCTAAAGCCCACTTTTCAGCCAAAGATTAGACAGGACTATAAAACAAACAATAACACACGTTAGGAATGTGCTTCTTAGTTCAGTCAAGTACAGGCGACCAAATGGGCAACATCTGCCCCAAAGCAAAGATCAGAAGGCAGGAAGGGACAGGAAACTGGAGGAACGGACACAGAGAACCCAGGGTGGAGAAGGGGAGAGTGCTGACACATTGCGGGGATTGCAACCAATGTCACGAAACAATTTGTGTATAAATTTTTGAATGAAAAACCAATCTGTGCTGTAAACTTTCACCTAAAACACAATTAAATAAAAAACAAAAAGTCTAAACAATTTTAATGCCATTGGGCCACAGCAGTACTGCAGAAGCAGAAGGTATCTTGTTCAAATTCTCATGGTTTCCAAATAGCTTCTAAATATAACAAATCAAACCACCCCCCTCCAAAATCAGTAATTAGTCAACTGGGTGCACACAGCATTTCGAAATCTCACGTCCCTGCTGTCAACTGTAATCAAATCTTCCCTCAGACTTCTTGTTTTCTGGATTTACCCAAGGTCCCGTGACTTTTATCAGCAATTTATTTTTCCCTGGAAATGTTGCCTAGCCAGAAAACTCAAGAAGAATTCAAAATTAAATCATTTTGCTGTTTTCTCTCTGTGCAATGGACGCAATCAAAACTTCCTTCCCTGATTTTCTCTTGCTTCATTTTCAGGCTAAAAAGGGAATTTTTCTGGCCTATTTTGTTTGTCCCCAGCTCACCCCTTCCGCAGCTGTGTTGAGACACCTTTGCTCATTAGTGGCAATTCATTCTTTAGCCATCACATTCTGCAGCTCCTCAGACCCCAATGCTACAATTTGGGATGCATTTCCAGAGCCTTCAGGTCATATTGAAAAGGATATGACTTTGCTTTGTGCAGGGAGTACTGAATAGGATGTCATGCTCTGCTTCTGCCGCCCTAGGAAAAGCAAGATGACTTCAGCAAGCCACCAGAGCCTGAGATCTACTGTTTTCTCTAGAGCTGATTCTGCTCCCATAAATATCTTTGATGGCAACATCTGCACGTGGCTTTGTGCTTTCCTCTGGAGCAAACACCAATGCCCACTTCACATGGGAAGATATGGAAATGTTATGCTTGAAAGACACAGAATCATCTTTCTTAAACAGAAGTAAACTACATTTGTAGTCCCCAGGTGTGGCAGAAGGTTAAGACGTTCGGCTGATAACTGAAAGATTGGAGTTTCAAGGCCATCCAGAGGCATCTTGGAAGAAAAGCCTGGTGATCGACTTCTGAAAAATCAGCCATTGAAAACACAGTTCTGGGTCACTATGAGTCGACGTTGAGTCAATGGCAACTGGTTTTAAACTAAATTTAGTTCAAATAAATCAGGGGAAACAGGATAAAATCAATGTCTTCAAATATAATACTACTAGGGCTATTTGGGGGAATGTTTTATGCGTTGTGATCCTATTTTTGTATTGTTAAGATTGGAGAAAAAAATTAGACATCAGGAAAAGTGTGAACTGAGGGAAAATAATGTCTTTTTAGACATGAAAAAATCTTGATTTTTTTTATGTTAATTTTTTTCTGGTTCTCTGTTTAATGCCATCTCTTCTTTTAGAAGATTCTGTGTAAAATTTCCAACATTCCACATAGCATAAAAACTTTAATTTCATTCAACTCTCAGTGGCAAGGCTATACATTCAATAGAACATGGGAAACAGCACTGGGATATTTTTATAGTTGCCAATCTCATCCACGCTTCCCTAGAACTTAATTAAGTACAATTCATGATGCCATACAAGTTGCCATGAAGGTCCCAGCCCTTTCTCACTTCCATGTTATGTGATCATCTAGGCTCCTCTTTGGCTCCAGGCCTCCTTTGCTGTGGTCCTTACTGCCTGGTCTGCATGTTTCACCCTCTGCTGCTTCCTTTCTCCATAGCAACCAGCAGAGATGCTTCCGTAGATCGCTCTGTTCAGTGACCGAAAGCTGTGGGTGGGATGGTGGAAGGGAAGCTGCAGAGTTGCAATTACTGAACAATATCATTAATAATACACACGTGTAAAATTTTGCTGAAGATAAGTCAAAAATGGTTGCAGCAGTACATCAACTGGGAACCGCCAGAAATTCAAGCCGGATTCAGAAGAGGACATGGAACGCAGGATATCACTGCTGTTGTCAGATAGATCTTGGCTGAAAGCAGAGAATACCAGAAAGATGTTTACCTGTGTTTTATTGGCTATGCAAAGGCATTCAACTGTGTGGATCATAATAAATTATGGATAACACTGTGAAGAATGGGAATTTCAGAACACTTAATTGTGCTCATGAGGAACCTGTACGTAGACCAAAGGGCAGTCATTCAAATAGAACAAGGGGATACTGCATGGTTTAAAGCCAGGAAAGGTGTGCAGCAGGGTTGTATCCTTTCACCATACTTATTAATCTGTATGCTGAGCAAATAATCCGAGAAGCTGGACTATATGAAGAAGAACACCGTAGCAGGATTGGAGGAAGACTCATTAACAACCTGCAATATGCAGATGACACAACCTTGCTTGCTGAAAGTGAAGAGGACTTGAAGCATTTACTGATGAAGATAAAAGACACAGCCTTCAGTATGGATTACACCCCAACATGAAAAAAACAAAAGTCCTCACAACTGGACCAATACGCCACATCATGATAGATGGAGAAAAAGATTGAAGTTGTCAAGGATTTCATTTTACTTGGATCCACAAATCAAAGCTCACAGAAGCAGCAGCCAAGAAATCAAACAACATACTGCACTAGGCAAACTGTTATAAATGACCTCTTTAAAGTGCTAAAAGGCAATAATGTCACTTTGAGGACTAAGGTGGGCCTGACCCAAGCCACGATATTTTCATTCACCTCATATGCATGTTAAACCTGTTGCCGTCTAGTCAACTCCGACTCATAGTGACCCTATAGGACAGAGTAGAACTGCCCCATATGGTTTCCAAGGAGTGCCTGGTGGATTCGAATTGCTGACCTTTTGGTTAGCAGATGTAGCTCTTAACCACTGCACCACCAGGTTTTCCATATGCATGTTAAAGCTGGACAATGAACAAGGAAGACTGAAGAAGAATAGATGCATTTGAATTATGTTGTTGGTGAAGAATATTGGATATATCATAGACTGCCTTGGAAGAAGCACAGCCAGAATGCTCTTCAGAGGCAAGGATGGGGCGACTATGTCTCACATACTTTGAACACGTTATCAGGAGGGATCAGTCCCTGGAGAAGGACAGCATGCTTGGTAAAGTAGAAGGCAGCACAAAAGAGGAAGACCCTCACTGAGGTGGACTGATACAGGGGCTGCAACAATGGGCTCAAACATAGCAACAACTGTGAAGGTGGTACAGGACCGGGCAGTGTTTCGTTTTATTATACGTAGGGTCGCTGAGTTGGAATTGACTTGACAGCACATAAAAACAACAACAACAACACAGTGTATGCTTATAAGGTTTTCAGTTGTTGATTTTTTGGAAGTAGATTGCCAGACCTTTCTTCCAAGGTCCTCTGGGTAGACTCCAACCTCCAGCCTTTCGTTTAGCAGCCGAGCCTGTTAAGGCTGGATTGTAAACAGAGGTCAAATCATGAAAGTTCTCATGGGTCACACTTGGGAGCTAAGATTTATTCGGTGGGCAGTTCGGAGCGATGAATGTATTTGAGCACAAGTGTAACATGATAAGATTTGTGTGTTATAATGCTGTCTCGGCAGTGGAAGATTTGAGAGATTCGCTGTCCTTCATTTCAGGAATTGTGACTGTGGAACTCGGAGACACTTGGGGTCTTCATAGAGCGGTGGTTCCTAACTCAGGGTGGGGCGGGAGTGGTTTTACCCTCCAGGGGACTTTTGGCAAGGTGGGTAGACATTTTTGGTTCTCAAAACCCAGGGGGAAGGGGTGCTGCTACCACCTACTGAATAGAGGTAGGGATGCTTCTAAACGTCCTGTAATGCACAGGACTCTCCCGAACAAAGAATGATTATCCAACATGTTAATACTGCTGAGGTTGAGAAGCAGACCGAGAGCACAGAGAGGGCAGATCTAAAATGTTTAAGGTGTCTTGATCATTAGAGCTTTTGCAATAACCCTGGTAAATGCTTTCAATCTGTCTGCATCTTCCTAATTGCTCTTAGCCTTGTCAAAACATACGGCTCTCTGCCTTCGTCTCTGCACTATGACACGCAGTTCTACACTGACACTCATGAACTTGCTATGAGTCCCAATTGACTGGATGCCAAGTGGTAACAATGCAGCCAGAATCATCTCCCAGGACTCCCCATACTCACATGTTCCCATCTAGCCACATAGGAGAACTTGCTCTTCTAGGAACCCACCCATGTTCCCTCACAGCTTGATGTCTTCTCTTTCCTTTTCTTTCTCTCCTGACTCTGTCTGGACTGCCCTCTTCTTGCTTGTCTCTCTGGAAGAGCTCCTACTCATCCTGCAAGTTTGCACCTAAGTACTGCCTAATAAAAATAGTATACATTTGCACTCCAAAATCACTTATAAAATCTCCAGACATATCTTTCCCCCACCCAATGCCTGCACCAGCTGGGATACGCCTTCTTGCCTTCTTCTTGAACTAGTGGACAGATTTCTTTTCTAGGCCACCCTTTCCTTGAAGGAGCATCCCTTCATGAACTCCTGCTGTGTGCAGGTACTCAGTTCCAATTCTCTGTCTCTCTAGGGACCAAAGACCTTGTCCGTCCCTACAGAATCATTCAACCACAGCCCTTTGGTTTCCGTGACTTCTAAGTGTCCCTCCTCACTCCTCAGAGCAGCTCCAGCCACAGCTCAAGTTCTCAGTTTCCTTGGATTGGCCTCTGGGAATATCCCTTTCTTTTGAGCTCAACTATACATTTAAAAAGGGTGTTTTCTGGAATGTACAGTCTTTTAGACTCCAGCCTAGGGAATTCCTACACGCCATGGCATGACTTCTGGCTGCTGTCGGAGTGGCTTTGCTTCCAGGTCAACGAGCCTTAAATAGACTCAAACTCTTACCCAAGGCCACCACAGTAAAGTCGAGCACTGAGTGGATACCACACACACATACACCCATACACAAATAAACACATACACACACACACGCATAAATAAACACATAGACACATACGTACACACACATACACATATACACTCATGCACACACATACATACAGAAATAAACACATACACACTCATACACTCATATGCACACGCATACACACAGTCACACACACAGACAGAAGTCTTGCTTTTCCAGGAGTTGATGTCAGCCGTTCTCTGACTGATGACTGGACATTGGAGGAGCCGAGCACTGAGTCACTGGACGCCTCTTCTCCCAGCCGAGAGGCATCTCCGTCTCCCAGAGAAATCTCCTGTGACTCATCTTCCCAGTATCAGCTGACGGCTTCCAAACGTTTCCAGCAGAAAGGTTTAGATCATCCAAGTGAGTTCATAGGTTTTTTTTGTTTAATCGTTGCCCCACCCGAGGAATTCTTCCTTTCAGGGCCTGGGAACGACTTAGAGATGATTCACGTACACTCAGAAGTTGGTACCAACCTGTGTAGGAGGGGAAACGGCCACTGCCAGCCCGCTGCCACGATCGCAGAGGCAGTGACTGCCTTTGGAGCGAGATCTCAGAGGCCTCAAAGGCTGTATCTGCAGCACTTTATTTAGTCTCTGAAAGTTCTGAAGAAATATGGCAAAAGCTTAGGCTCTGATTAATCTGGACAGTGGGTGCACAGGTGTTTGTTATTTTACTCTTTATGCTTGTATATTTGACATACTTTGTAATGAAAACAAACACCCTTTTATGATTTACCTTTGGACAGTCACAAGATAAAAACGCATCTCTTATTTGGAGCAAATCTGAAACAAGCTCAACGAGCACATTCCTTAATACCAGGTTTGCTAATACCTGATTAATCATGATGGAGACAGTGTTGCATCAAGCGATACAGAATGGGCTCCATCATCATCTTGCCAAGCGTCAAAGCCTGGTTCCTCCCCCACTCTTTAGCTGTAACTCGGAATCGATTTACCAGACTCTGAAACTTAGCATTCTCATCTGTAAAATGGAGAAAATAATAGCTCCTACCTTTTAATGAAGGAGCCCTAGTGGCGCAATGGTTGAGCACTTGGCTGCTAACTGAAAGGTCAGTGGTTCAAACCCACCAGTGGCTCCAAGGAAGAAAACACCTGGCGATCTGCTACTAGATTACAGCCTAGAAACTCTATGGGACAGTTCTACTCTGTCACATGGGGTCGTATAAGTCAGAATCGACTCGATGGCACCTAACAACAACAGCAACATTTTAATCACTGAAATAATTCATGTAAAGCACTTAGAACAGCGTATCACATATACTGAATACTCAGCAAATGTGGAATTATTGTTACATAAGACTGCTCTTCAAGGGAAAAATTAAAGAGGGGCAGAGGTGATTTCCCAAGGAAAATATATGGGTGCTATCTCTATGAGTCAGAATTGACTCAGCAGCAATGGGCTTTTTTTTTTTTTTTAATCAACAAAGAACAGGAAGTAGATGCCCCCTCTTCTCAGTGGATTTGCAGTCCAGCGGGAGATACAGAGAAGGACAACAGTGACTTTAATGCAGTGTGAACAGAGCACTGAAGAGACACGCATAAGGGATTACAGGAGTACAGAGAGGGACCAGCTAAGAGTCAGGGCAGAGTTGAAGGAATCAAGGTAGGCTTCCCAAAGGAGGTGACATTTGAGCTAAGTCGTAATAGTTACTAAATGTCTTAGTTATCTAGTGCTGCTATAACAAAAACACCACAAGGGGATGGCTTTAACAAAGAGAAATTTCTTTTCTCACAGTCTAGGAGGCTAGAAGTCTGAATTCAGGGCACAAGCTCAGCTCCAGGGCAAGGCTTTCTCTCTCTGTGGGCTCTGGGGGAAGGTCCTTGTCATCATCTTCACAGGCTGAGGAGCTTCTTAGCGCAGGCAACCCAGGTCCAAAGGATGCACTATTCTCCCGGTTCTTGTTCCTTGGTGGTATAAGTCCCCATGTCTCTCCGCTGGCTTCCGTCTTTTATATCTCCAAAGAGATTGGTTTAAGACACAACCTAATCTTGTACATTGAGTCCTGCCTCATCAATTTAACTGCCACTAATCCCACCTCATTAACATCATAGAGGTAGGATTTACAACACATAGGAAAATCACATCAGAGGACAAAATGGTGGACAATCACACAATACTGGGAATCATGGCCTAGCCAAGTTGACACATATTTTGGAGGGACACAATTCAATGCATGATACTAAGTAAAAGGCTGCTGAAGGGATGCATCAAGGAACAACTTGTCCAAACTCACACAACTTATATATTTTTGTGCCCAGTCCCCCTTCAGTATCTATGTCTTGTGATCTTTGAGGTTTTTAGAGTCGGACTTGTTCTGTGAGGAAAGGTTTTCCAACTTCCAGGTGATATCTGGGGAAGCTAAGAATAAAACACGTTTTAGAAGGGTGGTTGAGTGTTCAATTGAACCCGTAACCACTTATTTATTTGACAGTATGCGAGAAAGACTGTACATTTACGTTGACATCACTCACTACTGCTTTAGTATGCGTTGCCAGTCTTCAGTATTCCACTACATTTTGGGCTAAGTAGGTTTTGTTAGCAGACCCAATCCTCATTCATAGCACGAAGAGCAAAAGCAAATACAGTCAACAGCATCGAGTCATTCTAAGCTTTGAACAACTGTTGCAAAATTGAGCATTTGAAGCATTTGGCAAAAATTACGTTGGGGTCTGTTTATACTTTACATTGTTACCTGGTAATCATGAAGCCAGCGCTGATTTCTTTTGGGTGATTATAGTAATACGTACTCAGGTTCGTGATTGGTTTAACTCTTATAAGTGTCAAGTAAGTGGAGTTTATAAAATGGAGGATTTTCAGTCCTTTCTACTGTGTCTCTAGACCATACAAAGTATTTACTGACAGCAAAGAGTTTTGAAAGGACAAACAGTTGATTACCTATGTACATTCTCCTTTTTGGCCTTCAGAGACTCTCAACAGGCAAAATTGCAGTTCTTTTCCCCTGCCTGATTTTAGACAAAACATTATGCTCCAGCTACACATGGTTTGTAAATCTTGGCTCTGGCACCTCATGGTTGTGTGAGCTTGGACAGATGTCATGATTTCTCTGAGTCTTGACCGTCTCATCTGCAGAACTAGGATAATGGTACCTACTTCCCACGGTTGGGGTGCTGATTACATGAACTGATGGATGAAAGCTCTTTGTAAATTATAAGGCACTCTACAAATTTTAGACATTATCATAACCACCACCACCACCATCATCATCATCATTAGAGTTAGATTCTGACATTAGCATAAACTCTACAAAACTTTTCCCCAACATTAAAGCAAAAGGCAAACCCAAAACTGTTGATCATTCGTTTTTCAGTGGTAGAGGAGACTTATTTGCTGAAATTTTCTAATGAATAGCCCTATACAGTATTAAGTAACTTTATCTTATCACTTATGACAAACTGTTTAAGATGACGTACGTTCATAGAGGAGAAAATTTAGTATGATTTTGTTGCTTCAAGGTAATTTAATCAGCAATGATTTCTAATTCATTTAATTTTATTTTTCCTATTAGAAACCAGTTTGCTACAAGAGGTCTCTTTTCAAGCCATCCTGCTGGCTGCATGCTTCATCTTTTCTGCATGTGCAAGGTAATTCAGATCTTATTTTCATGCAGTGGTTATAATTAATGAAGCTGTAATTGATTGATGGATTCCTTGCGTTATTCCACAGGGCATTTTTGGTAGCTCTGTGGTTAAGATTTGTTCATTTTTCTGACCATGATAAGTGCCCCTTTATCTATATCACCTCCTCCTCCCATCATCTCACAAAGCGTGAAAAGGCCAGTGTATCTTGCTTAAAATTTGATTTTAGTATGTAGCTCCCTTCTTTCAAAGCCTCAAGAGACTCCCTGTTACAGATACAATCTAAGCACGCCCTGCCTGGAGTTCAAGGACACTTGAAGTCTCTGTTAGGGAACATGACCAGGACTCCACCTGTCTTAGTCATCTAGTGCTGCTATAACAGAAATACCACAAGTGGATGGCTTTAACAAAGAGATATTTATTTCTTCACAGTAAAGTAGGCTAAAAGTCCAAATTTCAGGGCATCAGCTCCAGAGGAAGGCTTTTTCTCTCTGTTGGCCTTCTCAACAATCTTCCTCCAGACTAGGAGCTTCTCCGCACAGGGACCCTAGGTCCAAAGGACGCGCTCTGTTCCCAGCACTGCTTTCTTGGTGGTATGAGGTCCCCAACTCTCTGCTTGCTTCCCTTTCCTTTTATCTCTTGTAAGATAAAAGGTGGTGCAGGCCACACCCCAGGGAAACTCCCTTTACATTGGATCAGGGATGTGACCTTAGTAAGGGTGTTACAATCACACCCTAAGCCTCTTTAACATAAAATTACAATCACAAAATGGAGGACAACCACACAATACTGGGAATCATGGCCCAGCCAAATTGATAGACACATTTTTGGGGGGACATAATTCAATCCTTGACACCACCTTTCCCATTGTATGTTTATATCCCAAAATAAACTCTGTTCCAGGGAAGTCCACTCAGCATCTCAGAACACATAACATTCAAGTCTGATTGCTGGTATTTTCCGTTTTACCTTCTGTCTGGCATGTCCTTCCCCTGCCTTCCTATTCTTTCCTTGCACATATCTCCAGCGCAGTGATCAAGTGCCTTCTGTGCTAAGCCCACTCCTGCCTTAGGGCCTTTGCACTTGCTGTTCACTCTGTCTCACACAATCTTCTCCAGATAGTCTCATAACATGTTCCCCTAATTCTTTCTGGAATCTGTTCAAATGTCCCAGCAGCAGAGAGACCTTCCTGAACCACCTTGTATAAATTACACACCCGCTCTGTATTGCACACACCTGCTCTACTTCAGAGCATGTATCACCCCCTGACATATTATATGTTCACTTGTTTAAATATTAATGGTCTATCTTGTGCTACGAGAATGTGACTTCCCTGAGAGGGGAAACATTGTGGGTCTCCTTTACTTCTGTAACCCTGGTGCCAGAGGCTCAATTGATACTGTTGAATCAATGAAAAAAGGGTGAATGATATGGTCTCAAGGTCATTGTGGTCCTTGTACTCAAGTCACCAAGTGCTGCCTGCTCTCAAGTCATGCATTTCTGGGTCAATTAGCTGAGAATCACTTGACAGAGTTGTTTTTTAAATACAAAGTTTTTAAAATACAAAGTCGTTTTTAAAATACAAACATCCTTTGAAATTCTAATTCAGATCTAGTGACAATCAGTATTTTAAAATAAGCTTCCCAGATAATTATGAGGTTTGAGAAGCATTTTCAGATTACAATGGGACCAAAAGAACAAAAGGGGGAGGAGGCTCTGTGGTTAAAAATAAATTTGCAAAATTCTGCACTACACATCCCAAGTTGGAGGATCATAATATTCATTAGCATAATAAAAGCTCAGTGAAATAACGTAGTAGAGAAACATGCTTAGCTTTATTTAACTTAGCGTTTCCCAAATTTAGTTGCTCATGGAATCTTTTCTATAATTTCACTGGACTACTAATGAAATACTGCTCTTATGTCCATTTATGTAGACACTCTGCCTCCAAGGAGGTTGTCTTGGTTATCTAGGGCTGCTATAGCAGAAATACCACAAGTGCATGGCTTTTACAAACAGAAATGTGTTCTCTCACAGTCTAGGAGGCTAGAAGTCTAAATTCAGGGCGACAGCTCCAGGGGGAGGCTTTCTTTCTGTGTAGGCTCTAGGGGAAGATCCTTGTAATCAATCTTCTCCTGGTCTAGGAGCTTTTCAGCACAGGGCCCCCAGGTTGAAAGGATGTGTTCCCCTCCTGGTTCTTCATTCTTAGTGACGTGAGTTCCTTCTCCTCTCTGCTCAATTCTCTCTTTTATATCTCAAAAGAGATTGACTCAAGATCCAACCTAATCCTGTTGATTGAGTCCTGCCTTATTAACATAACTGCCTCTAACCCTGCCTCATTAACATCATAGAACTTATGATTCACATCACATAGGATAATCACACCTGATCACAAAATGGCGTACAACCACACAATATTGGGAATCATGGCCTAGCCAAGTTGACACACATTTTGGGGGGACATAATTGAAGCCATGACAGACGTGGAGCTTACCTGCCCACCCCTTGAGTATGGGCTGCCCTTAGTGATTTTCTTACAAAGACAAGAGTATGAGAAGGGTGAGAAAGTAAGTTTATAGTGGAGGAACATGGAAAATACTAGCTCATCCAGGTGATTAAGGTTAAAGAATGTGGATGGTGTGTACCCTTGATATGCTATGATGAGAAGTGCACTTTACCTGTATGGTTTTCCTCCCCAAAACCCATAACCTGAGCCTAACCATGAGGAAAACATAAGACAAACTCAAATTGAGGGATATTTTACAAAATATGTCACTAGTGCTTTTCCAAATTGTCAAATCATAAAAAACAAAGAGAGAGTGAGAAACTGTCACAACTCAGAGGGGCATATGGAGACATGACAACTAAGTGTAACGTAGTCTCCTGGATGGGATCCTGGAACAGAGAAAGGACATTAGGAAAAAACTAGTGAAACCCAAATAAAGTATGGAGTTTAGCTAATAGTATTGGATCAATATTGGCTTCTTTTTGTGACATATAGCAGAGTAATGTAAGATATCAGCAATGGGGGAAACTGGCTCAGGGGTACTACCTTTGCAGCTATTTTTAAAACTACTCCAAAATGACCAGGGGTATGCCCATCGAATGGACTAGGAACCCTTACTGAAAATCAGCTGGCCATAAATGTAACAACTTTTCTGGACTGTCAATTCAATTTCATTGATCTGTATGCCTGTCCTTATGCCAGTACCAGGCTGTCTTAATTATTGGTACTGTGTACTAAGTTTTCAAGTTGGAAAATGTCTTAGGCTGAGTTCTCTAGAGAAGTAAAATCAGTGAAGCATGTATATATACATATATACATATATGTATATATGAAGAAAGGATGAAGTAAAAGAGCTGAACAGAAGGTTTCAAAGGGTGCCTCGAGAAGACAAAATAAAGTATTATAATGACATGTGCAAAGACCTGGAGTTAATAAACCAAAAGAGAAGAACACACTCAGCATTTCTCAAGCTGAAAGAAGTGAAGAAAAAATTCAAGCCTCAAGTTGCAATATTGAAGAATTCTATGGGGAGAATATTCAACAATTCAGGAAGCATCAAAAGAAGATGAAAGGAATACACAGAGTCGCTATACCAAAAAGAATTGGTCAACGTTCAACCATTTCAGGAGGTAGCATACGATTAGGAAGTGATGATACTGAAGGAAGAGGTCCAAGCTGCATTGAAGGCATTGGCGAAAAACAACAACAAATATATGTGTATATATACATAGAGAAAGATTTGTATCAAGGAAATGGCTCACACGGATGTAGAGGCTGAAAAGTCCCAAGTCCGTGGGTTAGGCTGGAGGCTTCTCCTGACTCTTGTAGCTGCAGGGGCTGATGAACCCAAGATCAGCAGGTCAGATGACAGGCCTCTGGCTCACAGGCTGGGAAGGCTGATGAATCCCAGGATCAGCAGGTAAGATGGCAAGCTGCTGGCTCACAGGCTGTAGAGGCTGATGAATCCTAAGATTGGCAGGTAAGCTGCTAGCTCAAGTCCCAAGAACTGGAGGTCAGATGAGGAGCCAGCTGCAGGATCCAGAGTGAGTAAAAGCAAGCAAGCTTTGCCAGAAAGTCCACACACATTGGATGCAGGCTACACTCCTCAAGGAAACTCCCTTTTAACTGATTGGCTGCTGATAGTAGAGCTCATCTTGGAGGTGATTACATTATATGAGATCTCATTATGGAGGTGATTACATCATTACATAGCTTCCAAACTACATTATAACTGCCAGACCACTGAGAACCATGGCCCAGCCAAGTTAACACACAACCTTAACCATCACAAGAAGTGTGAGTTCTCCAACTTTGTTCTTCTTTATCAAGATTTTTTTTTTTGGCTATCCTGAGTCCGTTTTGCATTATTATTTGTAAGAAAGAAAAATTGAAAACAACCCAAATGTCTATAAATAGAGGATGGGATAAATAAATTAGGTGTGTCCATACAGGAAAACCCTGGTGGCACAGTGGTTAAGAGCTATGGCTGCTAACCAAACGGTCAGCAGTTCGAATCCACCAGGCACTTCTTGGAAACCCTATGGGGCAGTCTATACAATGGAATGCTATACAGCTGTCAAGAGAGATAGAGATAGAATTAGAGAAAGGAGAGAGAGAGTGTTCTAAGATTACATTATTTATTTTTATTCATTATAAGTAGGAGTAAACCTTGAATACTTGACTATATATGCCTTCTAGCACATTGATACCTGTAAGTATATTTAATTTATTGTAGTTCATTTATTTAACTGTGTGCCAGTGGGTTATGTTATTTACGAGCTTAATTTCAGATAGGAAGAGGCATTATGAAGTGTTTGTTATTGGAAGAGAGTGTTGGTCTGATAGGTCCGAGAAGCACTGATACAGACAGTACACACTGTGGGATTTTCAGAGGACTCAACATAGATGCCCACCTCCCCATACTCTGATCAGGTATATCTTGATCTTGGGGCATTAGAATAGCCTCTTAATTAATTTTCCTACCACCGGGATTGTCCCGCTTGAATCACATGCTACCCAGGGTGGTCTTTACAAGACCCTGTCTTGGTCATCTGGTGCTGCTATAACAGAAATACCACACATGGATGCTTCAACAAACTGAAGTTTATTCTCTCACAGTCTAGTAGGCTAAAAGTCCAAATTCAGGGCGTCAGCTCCGGAGGAAGTTTCTCTCTCTCTGTTGGCTCTGGAGAAAGGTCCTTACCATCAATCTTCCCCTGGACTAGGAGCTTCTCAGGGTAGGAACCCCAGGTCCAAAGGATGTGCTCTTCTCCTGGCACTACTTTCTTGGTTGTATTAGGTCCCCCTGTCTCCCTGCTCGCTTCTCTCTTTTATATCTCAGAAGATATTGGCTTAAAACACAATCTAATCTTGTAGATTGAGTCCTGCCTCATCCACATAACTCTCGCTAATCTCACCTCATTAACATCATAGAGGTAGGATTTACAACACTTAGGGAAATCACATTAGATGATAAAATCGTGGACAATCACATAAGACTTGGAATCATACACTAACCAAATTGATACACATTTTTGGGGGGACACAATTCAATCCATGACAGACCTCATTAGCCTCATTAAGTCTAGCTTCTTAGCAAGGAGCTTTCAGGTCTGCTCCAATATCCTCCCATTCATCCTTTCCCCCCACCCCCGCTGAGATCCAGCAATGTCAGACCATGTGCATACCCTTCCCCCACACCAACCCATACCTATTAAACACTGTCCCATTAATCTATGTGTCTCTCCTTTCACCAATATCACACCATCTTGTTTACTGTAGTTTTAAAGTAAATCTTGAAATTCTAAGTTTACATTTAGTCTAAGGAGCCCTGGTGGCACGATAGTTAAGTGATCAGCTTGAACTCACCCAGTGGCTCCACTGGATAAAGATCTACTCCCAAAAGGATTACAGCCTAGAAAACCCTATGGGGCAGTTTACTCTTGCACATGGGCTCTCTGTGAATTGGAATGGACTTGACAGTACCTAACAACAACGACATATTAAGTCTAAAAGAGCATCTCATATGTTGGAAATGCATGATCAGTATGCTAACCCTGTGTAACGCTGTTGTTTCAGATGGTTTCCGGGAGGAATGTTAGCCAGTGTCTTCACCTGCTCGGTGATGATGACTTTGGCTTGTAAGTAATCATTTCCCAAATGGCTGCTCTGCTTCCTGTATTTCATTCCAATTTTGTTCGTTTTGAAATCATTTTGAAATGCTCTCTCTTTCTCACCCAAGATGTTGTCAAGTCATTGTTTCTCAGCATTGCCAGCTATTTCAAAGCCACCACCTGTGCTTGGTAAGTGCTGTCTGTGATATCGTCATTGTCTGGGCAAAGATGACCATGATCTGATGTCTGAGGATGGTTTCTGATGAGTCATAGATGGCAATGAGTACACAAAGGAAAGGTCCTGATTGTTGGTCCTGAAGAATTCTTTCTGTTACTGATAAATCTAATAGTATTATCATCCTGCCTCCTTATCTATTCTTACGTCAGATAGAATTAATTTTTATGGCAGCGGGACTTGGAATAATTTTTTTAAAGTTTTTATTCTGGTGAAATAGATGTAACAAGATATTTCACCAGTCTTATAATACAATTTAGTGACGTTAATATATTTACCATGTTGTACAACAATCATCACTACCCATTTTCCAATTTTTTTTTTATCCATAACAAAAACTCTGTACTGCTTAAGCAATACCCCTTGCTTTCCCCTCCCACCCGCCCTAGGCAACCACTAATGAACTTCGGTCTCTATGCGTTTGCCTAATCTAGACATTTTTGTATTGGTGGGATCGTGCTCTAGCTGTCCTTTAGTTACTGACTGATTTCACTCAGCATAGTGTTTTCAAGTTTCATCCACGTTGTGGCACGCATCAGGACCTCATTTCCCTCGTATAGCTGAGTAATATTCCATTGCATGTTGTATAGACCACATTTTGTTTATCCATCCTTTGTTTATCTTTTTTGTTTTATTTCTGTTGTTAAAAACGTACACAGCAAAACATACACCAATTCAACAATTTCTACATGTACAATTCAGTGACACTGATTATATTCTAAGACTTAGAAAGTTTAAAAATAATTTTTAAGTGCTTTTTGGATTCATAGCGTTGTACTTTATAGATACCTCCTCTTAAGGAAACTTGCTCTTATATAGTTACCCAAACTGTTAGCAAATGGCCCATGAAATGATCACAGTTACACACTGTGACTTCTCTGCCATTTCAGATGCACTTAACGGTCTCCCCGTGTGCTGGCTGTCACGGTTCAGCATATTTCAGAGGGTTCCTGGGGTCTGGGTGAGATGCTCACAGAATTTCAAGAAGCCTGCAAAGCCCCATCCCATTGCAAGATGGATTATATTAATTACAAGCGCTTGGATGCCAGAGGCCAACTTCCAGTGCTTGGAGATTGAGGACTGTAACTCAGATTCGTTTCTTGGCCTTTGCTCTTGACACTGTTTCTCTGTTTATGAAATCTTTGCGCTAAGTCTAAAATCTCAGTGGAGTTTAGTGAGGATTTATTTTGTTTAGGACTCTAGCCAATATTGATTTACAGACACTTTGAGTGATGTTTCCCCTGATAATTTGCTGGCATTCCAGGTTTCTGGGGAGGCCACTGATATAGCTAAATATTGTTTCATCTAATAGTTAGAAAATTAGGTCCTGAGGTCACCCAAGGAATCCTTATTCTTTTAACCCTTGTAAATTAATGACATTTGTTTAAAACTCTGCTAGATGATCAAGTGCCTCCCTCCAGCTCCAGGTAGCCTCTAGGCCTGTGCAGAGCTTACAGGTACATCTTCTATGAGGTTGACTATAGGTCCGCACGTGTCCAGCTTTACGGGCCGAGGTGACACACTAATGAAGGTTAACACTAACTGGGCTAACTAGTGATGTCCAAACAGAGAGTGAAAAGTGCCATTTTGTAATCCAACTTTCATAAGTGAAAACATTGATTAGGGTAGAGCTGTCAGATGGGGCAAACTGTATAAATCCCATGCCTTTGCGTTTTAAGATGAGCATGTACAATCCCATCAGAAAGACTTAAGTATCATCTCATTAGGAAGCTTTGTAATGACAGCAGAGCTTCTCAGACTGTGGCTTGGGGACTCTCTGCTCTAGAATCAACTGGGAAGCTTGTTTAAAGAGCAAACTTTAAACCTACTGAATCAAAATTTCTGAGGGGCTCTACATTTTTAACCAGCTCTCCCGGTAATCCCTTGCACATTTAAATATGAGAACCTTGGAAATATAATTTCTAAGTCTTTTTATCCTTTCATTCCTATTGTGATATCATTTAAGCTACCAAACATTTATTGAAAACTTATGATACATTCTGTGGTGCACTGGGTGCCCAGTTTAGCTCAACAGACATTTATGTGGTCTCTGCTATGGGTCAAAGGAGCCCTGGTTGCACAGTGGTTAAAGCGCTCAGTTGCTAATCAAAAGGTCGGTGGTTCGAATCCACCAGCCGCTCCATGGGAGAAAGATGTGGCACTCTGCTTCTGTAAAACTTTATAGCCTTGGAAACCCCATGATGCAATTCTACTCTGTCCTGTAGGGTCACCATGAGTTGGAATGGGCTTGATGGCAGTGGGTTTGGGTTTTTGGTTTTGTATCGCGGGTCAGACACTGTTGCTAGGTCACAATGCCAAGGTATGTTCCTGGCCTCAAGATTTCAGCATCCAGTTTGAGTAACAGACGTGCAAAGGGCAAGGTGAAGATGCCTTTCAGTCTGGTAAGTGCAAGTAAAGATGAAGCACAGAAGCTCTGGGAACGAAAGAGGAAGCTTTCCTCAGACTTGGAGGAGGATGGGGTGTGTGGGCAGAGCAGGCTTCCTGGAAAAGCCAATAGCAGATGTTCACCGGTTATATCATCTCCAGCTCTCAGAGTACCTCCCCCAGTGCCTGCTATTCTCTGCTGAGCTCTTTGCTTGTGCTCGCCTAAAGAAATTGCATCAGGATAGTTCTGTTTCTAAACGCTGTCACCTACAACCTCATTTATGGAATAAGGGCCCTTCTTGGATTATTTGTCTACATCTCTTAACCTATCCTTTTCTCATTCTCTCTCCATTTTCTCCTGTTCCCTTCCTCCCCAGCCTCATATGCACACAAGACCCCGGAAAACAAGCACTATTGACTTCATTTTTATATCCATCTCAATGCCTTGAAAATAGCTATGCCATAAGTATTCATTAAATTAAATGTATTTGCTACATCATTTCTTAAAGTACTTCCTTTATACCCAAGAACTCACTGCCTATTAAAGGTTTTGCAAACCTCTCCCCATATGTATAACTATATCCGGAGGCTAAGAAGCCATAGACATGGTTATTAATACCAGGAGTCAAGAATGACTCATAAGGCTCCTCTCACAGTTAATGATGAGAATCTAAGGAAGTGGAGGGCAAGCACCAAATTCAGTTCAACAAGCATTAATGGAGTACTTCCTCCCACGTCCGATCGCACCGTGCATAGTTAGATTAGGTGCCAACCCTTCAGCACTTTATACTCCCCAAGGCATATCCCTTTTCATGCCATAATGCAATTCTCATTCAATTGCCTTTCTCAATAAATTGAAGGTCTTCAGCTATAGGGACGGTCCATCTTGTTCACCATTGGCTCAAGTGTCTCTTTCAAATCAAGTCATCATGGATCTCACATGTCGTCTATAATGTATTAGCATCAGTGGTGGGCATTTTTCACATTTACAACTTCATAGTGAACAAAATGGGTATTGGTTAACATCTGTTCTCTTTATATGCAGGAATGTATGTTTATATAGTTGGTGAATGAATGAATAAACTTTAAACCAATTGCCATCGAGTCAGTTTCAACTCATGGTGACCCCACGTGTTTCAAAGTAGAACTGCACTGCACAGAGTTTTCAATGGCCGTGATCTTTCAGAAGTAGATCGTCAGGCCTATCTTCTGAGGCACCTCTGGGTGGATTCAAACCGCCAACTTTTTGGTTAGTAGCCAAGTGCTTAACAGTTTGTGCCACCCAAGGACTCCAAGAATAGATTTTAAGGAATAAAAAATATGGGGAAAACCCATTTGCTACCTTCTAGGTATTCCTGTTGCGTGGGAGTGGTGCAGACAGGGAGAGAAAACAATATTACCTAAGACCAAGCTGGGCTTAGGGTTCAAAGTCTCTGTAGCCTTCGGAGGAAAAGGTGGGTACCGAGAACTGCTGTGGTGGAAAAAAAAGGGTTATGCTAAATTGAGGCTCGACTCTTCCTAGTTACGAGTATTTAGTAGTGTGTGTGTGTACAGTGATTAGAGCAGATACTGCATTTCCTGTGTATATGAATGAATTATGCATTTCTTTTCTCCTTTCACTGATTTAGGTTTGCCAAAATTTGACAAGCATTTAGGAGTGCCTCGGATGAACGTCTTCAGTCTGAATATCCGGAAATTATCCTATTTACAGTCTACTTGGAATCAATTACTTTATTGGAAGGAGTGAGCAACTGGATAATCGCGAAAAAACCTTTTAATTTGGCTCTGTGACTTTTTGTGAAGTCTCAGTTTTACACTTCTAATTGTAATATGCTGAAGAAAATGATATTAATTTGTCTTTCCTCTGCAAACACTAGGAGTTGAGAGGGAAAGGACCGGAAAATTTAAGTGATAAAGGGCAAACCACCTGGAGTAAATATTTCCCTAGTATTCCCTAAGGCAGTGGTTCTCAAACATTAATTTCATCAGAGAATTCCATGAAGCTCCTCTCCCTTGCTTAATTGCTCTAATTGAACAATGAAAACAAGTTTATATAGTCAATATCAACTTGAAAGTAATTGAATGCAGTTTGTACATACAATATAATGTCGAAAAGGTTTATATTCTTCCAAAAGGAGTGACTGGTGGGTGGTGATAGTGATAGTTGGTGGGAAGGGGAAGGAGAGCACCATTTTTTTGGAAGGGGTATTCTTCTTTTGCACCATTTTTTTCAACAAGTTTTTAACCTTCTCGGTGCCTATGACTATCTTTCACTCAAATTGCAATTAGAAAAAGTATATATATATACCACACAAAAAATGTCTGTAGGCAAAACAAAGGCCTTGAAGCACATGGAAATGGCGCAGGTGGACAACTGATTGAAGGATTGTAGAAGAAGATGCCTCTTTATCCTCTGTTGGCCCCTTTATAAGGCACCACTCAGAAGGCATTAGGTTTAGGATCTACCCTACTCTGATATGACTTCCTTAACATAACAAAAGAAAGCCCCTATTTCCAAACAGGGTCATATTTACTGGTACCAAGCCTAAAAACCCACCCTACTGCCTTCGAGTCAGTTCTGACTCACAGCAACCCTATAGGACAGAGTAGAACTGCCCCATAAGGTTTCCAAGGCTGCCCCATAGGGTTTCCAAGACTGCCCCAAAGCAGACTGCCACAGCTTCCCCCGGCAGAGCGGCTGGTGGGTTCCAGCCACTGACCTTTTGGCTAACAGCCGAATGCTTTCACCACTGCACCAACAGAGCTCATTTTAGTGCTACAGGGCTTAGGATTTCAGCACATATTTTAGGAGGACACAATTCAATCCATAAGAGTAGGTCTTCCATCTTCCACAATCTATGAACTTTGTTCCTCACCAAGCTGCTAAAAGAGTCGGGAAAGTAAACTCAAACGTAAAAGACTGCATGGAAGATAACTCAGCTTTTAAAATTCAACTAGCATTTTTTTTTGGGGGGGGAGGGGATATTATCTGCAAAAACTGAGTCAGCACCAATATTTTTAAGATTTGCTGTCTACCCTCAAGAAACTTGCTCTCTAGCAGGGGAAACAAGGCATTACATGAAGTAAGAAGGCTAACACCAGGTGGCCAGTGGGATAGAAGGTGCAGAGGGAAGGGGGGGGAGTCCCCTGTGAGAAGCGAGAGGTTTAAGCATCCTTGAGTTCTCTTTCACCCACTTTCACAAGAACATGTATCCAATACATGGTAGAGATGCAATAAGAACATCACTGTTTTGACTTATTAATTATGTAGGTCTTCTAAAGCACTTTACTAGAGATATTATTTTGTTGCTTTAGAAAGTATGAGCAATTTATATTTTATCTAGCTCATTCATCCATCCCTGAATTCAATCAATCATTACAATTACTGAACACCTAATACTTAACCAATGGAGCCCTCGTGGTGCCGTGGTTAAAGAGCTTGGCTGCTAACCAAAAGGACAGCAGTTCAAATCCACCAGCCACTCCTTGGAAATCCCATGTGGACAGTTCTACTCTGTCCTATAGGGTCGCTATGAGTACTTACCAGGTACTTTTTAAGAACCAGGGATTTTTTTAAAAAATAAAATAAAATAAAATTCTGCTCTCAAGAAGCAGACGTCATTGCAGATAGAGAATCAGCTAAGTATATAACTACCGGGGTTGCAATACTTAAGACACCCCCCACAAATACATTTCTTCTAAAACATTTGCTAGTTCAGAATTTTCAGTAATTTGGATTAATTCTTCCAGTGGGTTAATGGCAATTGTGATATTGTGTTCTGTTCTTCTGGAGAACAGAGAGAAGAAAAGCATGAGAGGAGAAGAAAAATACTAAAAAGAGGAAAAGGGGGGAAGAAAATAGAAACAAAAAAACTACCACACTGCTAAGTGAGCAATAAAAGGAAATATGAGGGCAGCGGTGGTTCAGTGGTAGAATTCTCACTTTCCATGCAGGAGACCGGGGTTCTGTTCCCACCAACACACCTCAAGCCCAGCCACCGCCTCTCCGTCAGTGGAGGCGTGTGTGTTGCTGGGATGCTGAACAGGTTTCAGTGGAGCTTCCAGATTAAGACGGACTAACAAAAGGTCTGGCCATCTGTTTCTGAAAACCAGCCAATGAAAATCCTATGGATCACAATGGTCCAATCCCATTGTACATAGGGTACCTATGAGTAGGGCACTGATTGACAGCAGCTAACAACAACAGGAAATACAACCCATGGTGATCTTGCCGGGTACCTGATATTGCCCCTGGCAACTTCACGTTGCCTGCTCTCTTAAACCTCATAATAACGCCTCAAGGCAGGTATTAAAATTGCTATTTTATAGATAACCTTAGAAAAATTTAATAACTTTCTTGAGGACACAGAAGTTAGGTGGGAGATCTAGGTTTTAAACCCAAGTCTGTCTGACCAAAAAGCCCTCGCTCTCCTCACTGAGGGATTGCTGCTGAGAAGGGTTGAGGGAGAAGGCAGTGGTGCCTTGGAGATCCAGTCCTGCACCAGCCACTCTCTTCAGAAATGCTAACTCAGGAGAATGGTTTCAGGGACGCAAGAGATTAAATAAAAAGAGCTGTCTTTCAGGGGCAACACTGACCTTCACGTTTTTCTTGTAGCTCAAGTTTCTCAAATCTAATTCCGTAGAGATTTTACATGACTGAGACGTGATCTAAGAAAGAAAGCACTCAACGCTGTCTTCTCCACTTCAGGACCTTTGCTTACAGACGCTTACACAGTTATTGCTGTTGATGTTAGCTGCCATCGAGAGGACCCTCGACTCAGGGCGACCCCGTGCATGATGGAACAAAACACTGCCCAGTTCTGCGCCGTCCCCATGATCGTTTGTGGATTGGATTGTAGTGATTCTTAGGGTTTTCATTGGCTGATCTTTGAAGTAGATCGTCAGACCCTTCTTCCCAGTCTGTCTTAGACTGGAAGCTCCACTGAAACCTGTTCAGCACTATAGCAACATGCAAGCCTCCACTGACACATGGATGGTGACTGTGCATGAGGTGCAATGGCAGGGAATCGAACCCAGGTCTCCTGCATGAAAGGCGAGACTTCAACTACTGGGCCACCAATGCCTCTATATAGCTATGGCCCATTGCTGTCCGGTCAATTCCGACTCATAGCGACCCTATAGGACAGAGTAGAACTGCCCCTTATGGTTTCCAAGGCTGCAATCTTTGAGGCAGTGGTGGTTCAATGGTAGAATTCTCACCTTCCATGCAGGAGAGCTTTGTCCGATTTCTGGCTACTACAACTCATGCATAAGGCACCACTCATCTGTCAGTGGAGGCTTACGTGTTGCTATGATGTTGAAACAGGGCTTTTGGACTAAGATGGACTAGAAAGAAAGGCCTGGTGATCTGCTTCCAAAAATCAGCCAACAAAAAGCATATGGATCACAATGGTTAGATTACCAATTCATCTCGGGGACAGTGCAGGACTGGGCAACATTTTATTCTGTTGTGTATGGGGTCTCACTCAGTGGCAACTAACAACAACAGACTCTGCCACATCCTCATTTTAAAGATGAGGAAAGTAAATCTCAGAGAAGATGAATAACTTGCCCTAAGTCATTCAACTCATAAACGGTGGAGCCGGACCTGTACCCCAGGTTGTTAAGGCTCCTGTGCCGTTACCCTACAGTGCTTCTCTATCAGATATCTACTGTAGTTACTTCAAAACAACTCAGATGCAAAATGATTTGTCTGTGCTTCAGGAGATGCCAGGCACTGCCCCTGAAAGGAATCCCACCATTGCTCATACAACGCAGCAGACACAGACACCTGCCACCTTGGCTTCCTTTGCACAATTGCCACATTTCCCTACCAGGCCTTGATGGAGGTCTGATCATGGATTTTTTTTAAGAGTCCATCCCACTGTGAGGGCTGCATCACCGCCATCTCTCCTGTGCTACATGAAATCTGCTACAGCTGCAAGCTACACCTGTTAGAGAGCCAGATGGGTACCTTGGGGGCGGGGGGCGATTCAGCAGGTGGATGCTGAAAGTTGGCAGCCACTTTGCAAAAATATCTTTATCCTTTCGTAGCCTGAAAGGAAACAAAAACAAACACCATGAGAGACAGGGGAAACAAGGCTGGCGTATGAGGACTTAAGCTTTGAGTGCAAAATGCCAGTCTGCATCTGTACTGTGGGAAGAGGGTCACCCCACCCCCATCCAAATTGAAGCAGCATAATTTTGTGTGGGTGAAGCTCAAGTTCAGGCTGCAAAGGATCTGCTGTGGGGGATATAGCTGAAACGAGTGCCAGCAACTCCATTTCTCGCTCTTTCTCTCTTTTTTTTCAGTGACAGCCAAAATCAAAGACCACTCTTACCCGGCTCCCACCTTCCCCACCTTCCTTCTTTCTTCCTGCTGGGTCCGTTGAACACAAGCACAACAGTCAGCGTGGTACTCCACTCTGGAGTTAGACTAGACCCGAGCTGGGCTGTCACCCCGCCCCTTTATTGCTGTATCACTTCGGGCAAGGTGTCTCACCTTTGGAAACCTAAATTTCCCCATCTATAAAATGGGAGAAAAATACTACCTAATTCTTAGCATTTTTCTTAGAAAGGCGAGGAGCTTAACTCTGCGCAAAACGCACAGTGAACTCTTCCAAAGGGGAGCTACCATCACTGCTAGCGGTGTTAGTAACAGCGGTAGTAGTAATAGTTTTTTTGACTTCGGGGCCCGTGGGAATTTTTTAGTTAGCGGGTGAGATGGTATAAGGGAGTGAAAAACAGTGAGCTAAACTTTG